ATTCTATTCTATTCTATTCTATTCTATTCTATTCTATTCTATTCTATTCTATTCTATTCTATTCTATATAATTTGACAAAGGCAATGTACAGTAACCTGAATATATCATAACTGATTAACATCAGTTGCCATATTACAAATTTGTTTTCATAATAGAGTAAAATTCTCCAGTTCTTTATCTTGATAACATTCTAACAACATTTGTGGCAAATGTTTCTAAAGTTACAGCTAACTATGGTTATTTTGTTAGGATTAGCTCTCTCTTTTTATTATTTGCCTAATTTAAACTACTAACAATGCATGTTTGTTTCGTGCATTTTTTGTATCAGTTCTCTTCTAAATTAGGGAGATGGAATGGTTGTGTATATTACTTTTCTAGATTTTTGGAGATCATATCTCATATTTTTCTACATAAATCAGCATCAGTGCCTTAGGAAGAATTCCATTATTTGATTTTGTTTACCAGATTTCACAAAGACCACTTCACAGTTAGCTACCAATTTCTTTTCCAACTCACCTTCTTTCTCTCTTCCTTTATAAATCATGCCACTTTGACAAAACATACTGAAAAATATAAATCATTGTGTGCCCATTTGATCATTTGCTTCATTGTACTGCCATTCATTCATTGAATTTATACGTCCACCCATCTCAAATTCATGACTATGGGTGGCTTAATATGGTTTTTATTTTACAAGTGCATCAGCAGCTGAGATACAGAAATCGGTAATAAACAACAGCCACTGCATAGGCTCTTCCACACATCCAAATCCCCAAGACCTGTGGCAAAACTTTTTTGTCTTTGAGGCCTTACAAAAAATCAGCAGGGTCAGGGCTAATCTAACGTCCTAGATTATGATATTTCAAAGGGCAGCTGTATTTTATTGTTTTATCCATTATTCCTGGTACACTTTGAAAAAATACAAAGAGTAAAATAAAAATAAAAAGCATATAGATGTCAGGAAAATTAAGTGCTTTCCTCTGTCAGAATTGTTTTTAGAATTTTCTAAAGTTAAATCAAAGGGACATGGTGGCTCAGTGGCTAAGACACTGAGCTTGTTGATCAGAAAAGTCGGTAGTTTGGCAGTTCGAATCCCTAGCGCTNCCTACCCAGATGGTCATTAGGGCAGAGAACCGGTTGTTAAATTATTTGAAACCCACCACTGTTCTAAGCTGCAACAGACAGTAAGGCATTTTTACTTCCTGTTTTAAAGACAATTATTTGGTTTGAATGTTTTCAAAACAGCAATGTACAATTTTAGCTTTCTCTGGGCACAATGAGATTATATCTGCAGAATATAACTCCATATTGGCGACGGGAAGGGTATCGGGCCAGTAAACACTCGTCTCCATTCAGTTGCCCAGACTCCACCCTGCAAGGGCTTATCGGGTTGTTAAATGAAGATGAATGTACAATTTTAGCTGCATAATATTTATTTCTCTGAATTGATTTTGCTGTTTCTTCTTTTGGATATTCAGCTCAGTAGATTACAGTTCTTAATGTTTCATGTTTTGCAGGAGTTAAAGGAGTGTGTGGGCTGCTTAATTTGAGCCTACATAGGAAGGCCTCATTTAATAATCAATTAGGAGCAATCATTTAGTCATTAAGCAGAGTGCTCACTAAATGAAACCATTACCATGTGATCTTCCTTTTAGCTTTTCTTTGCTTTACAGATATGTGAAGGTTGTAAATGCGAGGATTTGTCACAACGTTACTTTTTCATCACCATCATAACTACAATCAGTTCCTGTACTAGGCAGTCGCTAAACAAGGATTGTAGTATGAATAAAGCTGTAAGCGGCTTTTCCAGGGTTCATAATAGCAACATAGTAGAATGGAAGGTGTTTCTTTCCTTTTTTTTAGTAGATATGCATACAATTATTAGAATTCAATGAGTTAATCTGATATTGAAACAGTCTGTTACAAATAAGGCCTTGTAAAGGATGTATTTTATGGAAATTCCCTAAGGGAATACAATATGAGAATAAAAACAGTATGCTGCTAACTAGTAATAAGCATAAATAAAAATACATTTGGACAGTTTTGATTAAAGCAAGCTTAGGGAATCAAGAGTAAAATCACAGAGGATACATGGAGAACCTCATTATTTTAGTGGCACAGTGGTTAGAGTGCAGTATTGGAGGCCACTTCTGCTGACTGCCAGCTGTCTGCAGTTCGACAGTTTGAATCTTACCGGCTCAGGGTTGACTCAGCCTTCCATTCTTCTGAGGTTGGTAAAATGAGGTTGTTGGGGACTCTGTAAACCACTGGAGAGGGCTGTAAAGCACTACAAAGCGGTATATAAGTCTAAACGCTATTGGTATTGATCTAGATATACACTGCTGGGCAGCAACTATTCACAAGATAGGTTCTCTAAATGTACCTGCCCTAACTGAGATATTGTGAATTGTAATGACATTATCCCTAGCCAGCAACAAGCAAAAGAACCAGTCTGACAAAGTTTATCTATATGGTTCTATGTTTTGTTTTATTTGCAATAAAGAAGTCTTATTAATGTAATAGTGGAGTGAGAACCCTTTGTTTAGAGATTAATTTTAGGCTTATTTCAATTAATGGCAGCTAAGGGCATGCTAATCTGTTGCTTGAACATGTTTTATACAAAAAGCTTGGTGTCAGAATCCATGCTTAGTTCCTCTGAGGCACCATTGGTGCTGAAACCTTTTTATTTTTGTACCAATTCAACTTAATTTAAATTTTGTTTGTAAGATCCCTTAACCCTCAAAGCTTTTGGCAGTAGTATAAAATGCAATTTATAATAGAATAGATTGCTAATGTAGCTGGAAAAAAATCTGTCAAGGTACTTAATGCAGTTGCAGGCAACACAGGGGTGGGTTCCTGCCAGTTCTAACCTCTTCTATAGAAGAGGTTCCACAAATCTACAGTGCCGTTTAGAACCGGTTCCAGCTCTCTCCCACCACTCATCTGCACATCATCAAGATGAAAAGCGAGATGAGGAATTCTGGGAGTTGAAGTCCA